GGGATCAGGATCAGACCCCTCCACCCCCATTCAACACCCCTCTCCCCATGGAAAGCTGCTTCTTCTTCCACGGATTTCCACCAACCCCATAAAGGGACTCCACCCCACACTGGGGTTCTCCATCACCCGAATACATTCGCTCTAAAAGCCCCTCCCAAAAGCGGCCAATTTATGGGGCCGCGGATCATCCCGGTCCCTGGGGGTGCCGGAATTCACAATCCCGCAGGTGAAGGAGCTGGAGGAGCAGCTGGAGCTGCGGCCGCAGCCGGAGGAGCTGCAGCGAGCCCGGGAGGCGCTGGCCGAGGCCGAGGAGGAGAAGCTGGAGCTGAGGAAAAGCCTGCGGGAAGCCGAGGAGAGGCTGCAGCAGCTGGGAAAGGAAGGTGGGAGCCCCCGCTCTGCTCCACGCGCGATTCCAGAGGATTCCAGGGGCTCGGCCCCCGAGGATCAGCCCTAAATTCCGCCCCGTTGCAGTGGGATCGCTCCGGGAGCAGCTGGCCCAGCCGCGGAGCCACCCCGAGCCACCGCCGCCGCCACCGCTGCCACCGCCCGCGGCCGCTGTCCCCGCTGAGTAGGTGACATCCCGGCCACCTCCCGCAATTCAGGGGCTTTTCCAGGCTCTTCCTGTCACAGGGAATAGGCCTGGAAAACCTCGGTGTTGTGCCGGGAATTGTCCCCCAGGATGGGGGGACAGCGCTGTCCCCCAGCGCCTCTCTGGGGCTCGAGGTGCAGCTGTCCCCTCCTGTCCCCTTTGTCCCCTCCTGTCCCCTTCGCAGCCCCCTGGCCACCCTCAGGCAGAAGAAGGCGCTGAAAAACCAGGAGCAAAGTAAGTCCTGGGGGGTTGTGACTTCGGGGATGTCCCTAGGGTGTCACCGGGATGGGGATTGTCCCAGACAGGGGTTTTCCCGGGGATCCCGATGTCCCCAGGGGGGTTCTCCAGCACTGCGATTTTCCCGGGGGTTGCGGCGTCCCCCACCCATCGGGCGAGAGGAACTGATTTGGGGTTTGGGGACAAACGGGCAGGGTGGCACCGCCCGGGGTCACCGGAGGGGACAGGGACAGAGGTGACAGCTCCACCCGCAGCAGGAGCCACCGGCACGGGTGACCCGGGAACCAGCGATGTCCGCGCCAGGGCCGTGCAGGAGATGATGGAGCGCATCCGCAGCGGGATTGTCCTGCGGCCAGCGAGGGACCGGCCACACCTGCGCCAGGTGGGCGGCGACAGCGACAGCGACACGGGGACATTGTCCCCGGGCTGTCCCGGCGTTCCAGGGCTTCAGCCGTTCCCTTTTTCCCGGCAGGATTCCGTGGCCAGCAAGCGGCGGAGCGCGGTGCTGGAGCTGCAGGGGATCYTGGTGAGCGGCGCTGGCCCCGCAGAGGGGACACCCGGCCCCGTGTCACCATGTCACCATGTCACCGTGTCACCGGTGACCCTCTGGCTGTCGCAGGGGGCCATGAGGAGGCCGAGCCGGCGGCGCAGCGGGAAAAGCCGGAGCAGCGGGAAAAGCCGGGACGGGCAGTTGGAATCCATCCTGCAGCGGCGGCGGCGGGCTGTGGATGCTTCCACGGGAAATTCCATGAGAAATTCCNCCCGGCAGGATTCCGTGGCCAGCAAGCGGCGGAGCGCGGTGCTGGAGCTGCAGGGGATCTTGGTGAGCGGCGCTGGCCCCGCAGAGGGGACACCCGGCCCCGTGTCACCATGTCACCATGTCACCGTGTCACCGGTGACCCTCTGGCTGTCGCAGGGGGCCATGAGGAGGCCGAGCCGGCGGCGCAGCGGGAAAAGCCGGAGCAGCGGGAAAAGCCGGGACGGGCAGTTGGAATCCATCCTGCAGCGGCGGCGGCGGGCTGTGGATGCTTCCACGGGAAATTCCACGAGAAATTCCACAGGAAATTCCACTGGAAATTCCACTGGAAACTCCGCGGGAAGCTCCACGGGCACCCCCAGCGCCTCGGAGAAGAGACCGGACACAGGTACGGAGCTGGGAACAGCCCGGGAGCTGCCACCCGCCGCTGTCCCCTCCTGTCCCCGCTGCTGTCCCCTCCTGTCCCCGCCGCTGTCCCCTCCTGTCCCCGCTCCCATCCCAGTCCCGTCTCTTCCCAGGGATCCAGGACAAGGACGCGGCTCCAGATGGGAGCAGGGACAGTGTCCCCTTCCGGCCCCGCGGGGTTGGTGGCCTCCCCAGGACGCGTCCCGTTCCCCGCCTGGCCTGGGACAGCGGCAACACCACGTAGGAACGGCTTCCCGCCTGCTGCCACCCTCCTTTCCCAGGAATTTCCAGGATTTCCAATGATTTTCCCCAATTTCCGAGAATTTCCCATCCTGGTGTTAATTAAAGCGAGGTGGCGCCGTGTCCTTGTGCCGTTGTCACTGCGGGGGCGAGGGGGTGGCACCGGGATGGGGCTGGGATTGGGGAATATTCCAAATCCCAAAAATAATCATCAAATCCCTCATCCAGCTGCAAAATCCACACCAAGGTTCAGGCTGGAGCATCTCCCAAACCGTTCACAC